GAACATACATCAGTGTGTTAAGAACTAGTTAAAATGACAGAAACAAGCTTAATGTTACCCATGGTGTTATTTTAACTGTGCATTGGTGTTGCAACCATGTTAACTGTCCTGTGGCGTAGCTTCACCCTGTCTGCCAAACAGACACTGACAGGGAGCAGAGGACCAAGGGAGAGTGACAGCGATGTAAATTGTTGCTTTCATAGAGTCCGATACTTAGACCCTGCACCACAGGGGTCTTTACAGACACAGCCACACACTGCTAGTCTGCATAGTGTACCTTTAAAGATAAACAATATCCATGAATATCCCTTCCCCAGTGTTCTGTAAAAAAAATAAAGAAAAAGGCTTATCTGTTTTTAAGGACTAAGAAAATAATGTATTAATGCTAAAGGAAGAGGCACAATTCCATTCTGCTTGTATTGTGGAAACAATAAATAGGTTTGAAATCTCTTTTACTACTGACGCAGCAAGAATATTTTGATAAAATAAAACTGAATCATTAAATACACATTTAAAATGTAATTTTCAAATTATGAAACAACTTGCAATAGTTTCTAAAGCTCCAAAACAGAATACTGAATGCAGACTTCCTTTATTTTGAGCGTTACACAGACATTTGATGTCATCAGTGCAACACTCAAAAAGGAAGTGAGCCATATAAATGCACATTTTGGTTTCTGACCACTGAGTCATAACCTCAGGATGGAGAGAAATACATCAGTGAAGTCACAGTGCCTTTTATAGAGGTATTGGGCGATTTCATTTTTGAATAGTCAGTATTTGAGGTAGTTGGCCTGATGTGCACGCACTGTGAGGATTCAATTCAATTAAATTCAGTTTTATGTGTAGTAGCAGCAGGAGATCGATAACATGAGTTTTATCTCAGGACACTTGGTTCAGAAGAGAGCAGGGTCGTAGAGCCTGAGCTCTTATTAAACAGTTTACAGAGACCCCAACAGTACACCATGAGCAAGACCTTGGCGATGGTGGCAAGGAAAAAACTTCTTTTTAAGAGGCAGAAATCTCGGACAGACCCTTCAGCTCTAGGTGGGTGGTCAACTGCATCGACCAGTTGGGGCGAGAGAGAGAGAAAGAGGGGCGTAGAGGGGTAAAGAGAGAAGGACAGAGACAAAGGTGCACAGCAACAACAATAGCAGCAAATTAAGGACAGCGTTAGTTCATGCAGGCCACAAAGTCAAGCTCAGCTCTCAGTTCCAGCTACATCAGCCGATCACAGCTTATCATAAACACACAGCAGCTCATGGCTCATATATAACATTCTGCATTTGGAAATAAAGTTTCTTTTGACAAAAGTGGTCCTGACTGAACTATACTAATAGAAGTGACTGATGATGATGATGATGATGAACATGAAGAAGATGATGATGACGACAACAGCCACAAAGACACCACTCTATCATGTATCTATCTGTGTGTCTCTGTACAGATCGACCGTAAAGCGCTGCACTGGGCAGCGGGAGCTGGTAGTGAACAGGCTCTACGCCTCCTACTGGCCCATGACACTGAAGTTGATGAGAGGGACTCTGTATGTACAAGTTTGTAGTAAGATCCTAATTTACCATTAAATTCAATCATTACCAAAAATAAAAAGAATTCACTATTATGTTATATCACACTGGTTTCAGCTTTTTTCCTGATAAGACTCAGTGACGTATTTTAGGGATATTTCATGTTATATGGTAAATGGTAAATGGACCTGTACTTGTATAGTGCCTTTCAACCACTCAAAGTGCTTTTACACTACGTGCCACA